TTAAAGAACATTTTTGAGACGCAAACTGAAACATCGCTCTTTCGTTTTTTTACAGCATTTAGTCTCTGACCGCAAGCAACTAAAGTTTGACGTTGTTTGCTGTGGTATTTAGTTTGATTGATGCCACATTTGGAAGGCCTATTTTTTAGGTCGGGAAATATCTCCATGTCTGACAGTCACTTGGAGGGTCCTCACGTCGCTGTTCCGGAGTCCGGTTCTTCGAAGATGGTCGATCGTTTGAACTCGCCGTCATTGTCGCATTTGTTTGCCAGAGAAATCTTTCTGACTCCGTTGGTTACTCCTCTTTTTACAGACGTCAAGGCGTATCTCGGCTACTTCAATTTCTTCTTCATTCGCGAAACGACCGGCTACCGTGAAATTGGTGGTCTGGAAGCGTTCGTGCATTCGTCAGTGACGGAAATCTTTCACATTGTGCAGGCGCACGTGGCTGCTTCCGGGGGACATGGCATACTTGGCTTTAAAGTGAGCATCAATGACCTGTCGTGTAACCCAGGACGAAATCAGGCGCAGTTCCTCCTCGGAGTCAGTGGCGACATCGTTACGACTGTTTAGCGCTGTACCTGTTGACCTTCGTCGTTATATTCCCTTCTGATCATATGGTCATGAACTTTCATGTGGCAATTTGTTTATTTTTATGAATATTTCATAAGATAGTAGCCACCTTTGAGCGACGGCGTTATTAAATTTCACATTGCACTCATGAAGCACTGAATTATGTCATTGAATGTATACTAGGCTCTGAATTATGTGGTAGCTACAAAGATAACAGGTTTAAGTAGATCTTAACACTGTGTATGGAGTACTGTGTCGAGCCTGCTTGCATCTACAGAATCCTGATCTCGGTCGAATCCATTTTTCGTCATTTCCTCATCTGGCTGGTTTAGGCTGTTGTTTTTGGATTCTTATCATTGGGAAGTTCGCCGAAATCTAATGTAAGCGTTTTTTATGGCAGAGAAAGTACAGTGGCCAAAGTACGTTAAGATGGCATGACTATGCAACTATGTCGGCTGTACTGCAACTGTCTCACCACCAAAGCTTGTAATTAGCCTAAAAATGGTCAGCTGATGAGTATCTGGTAATATTGGATGGTATGGCTCCGCTTGCAATCTGCGTCCTTATCTGTCTCTGAAAGTGCAAGGATATGTTTCTGCATTATGTAATCTACCGTCTATTAGGGCTTAACGAATTTTGTCACAAATAAAATGAGACATATAACAGATTGTATCATGGGTAGATTGTATCATGGGCTAAGGCATCATGTTATGGTTATACCAGGGGCCAGATTGGTGAATCGTGCACGATGGCGAAGTGCTACGATATGTACAGTATCTTTCGTACGCTATATGGTACCTATTGATGATTGCGCATATTCCTGGTTCATTTGTTTCTAAGGTAATACAGTTGGAAAAGCTGGCTGATGTTTTGATGTCTAACAGTGCATGAAGATCTCAGTCAAACTTACTGTCATTGGACATCACGAGAAAAACGAGCCCTTTGCGGATGCAGCTTCAAATTAGACACAACGAAGCATAAAATCTTCTAGCCTTCCATCAGAGGATAATACATAAATGTGGTATTTTCAAATTGGCGGTCGTGGCTCGATCATTGCTGTAATAGATGATATCAGGTTTGGCCTTGTTTATGGATGGCGGTTTCTCACGTTATTATGTTTGGATGATCGATGATGTGAGCCGGCCATGGCAGGACATCCCTTTACCATTGCGAGCGTAACTGTGTTGGATGACTGTCACAGATCCGCCCCCCCGTTCATCGCCCCGTAATAAATGGTATGACTAAAATGCGCAACAATTATTAGCTCGCCGTGTCGTACATGTGCTGTTGGAGAACGCATGTAGACTATAGCTTTCCAGCGTTCGAAAATATATGTGATTTTGATCATGTAAAGTACGTATAAATTGAAAAGGGGAAAGCATAGTTATGTAGTTGGGAGCAAGGCGTCTGATTTACATAAACAACACAGGCATGCAAGCGGTTGAACGGACGGAGCATGACCACAGCAGATCCGCTTTCACATAATGCGTGCATACCCTTCGAAGTCTTTGGTATCATCTAGCTTCAATCCGATTGTTGTTCGGTGTCTAGTGAGAAGCTTAGCTAATCTGTTAATTATTAG